ATGGGGGGGGGGGTGATGGTGTTGGCGGAGTAGGTGATTTATAATGATATGGTGGAGGGGGTGAGGGAGATTTTAGCATAGGAGAACTATAGTGATATGGAGGTGGGGGTGAGGGGGATGGCGGTGGTGGGAATTTATAATGATATGAAGGAGGGGGTGATGGGGATGGCGGAGGGGGTGATTTATAATGATATGGTGGGGGGTGATTTATAATGATACTGTGAAGGTGTTGATGGAGATGGTGGGGGAGGAGAACTATAGTGATATGGAGGTGGTGGTGAGGGAGATGGCGGTGGTGGGGATTTATAATGATATGGCGAAGGGGGTGATGGAGACGGCGGAGGGGGTGATTTATAATGATACGGCGGAGGTGGTGAGGGAGATGGTGGGGGAGGAGAGCTATAGTGATAAGGGGATGGGATTGAGGGAGATGGTGGTGGTGGAGATTCATAATGATACGGAGGAGGGGGTGATGGGGATGGTGGAGGTGGTGATTTATAATGATACTGTGGAGGTGGTGAGGGAGATGGTGGGGGAGGAGAACTATAGTGATAAGGGGGTGGTGGTGAGGTAGATGGCGGTGGTGGGGATTTATAATAATAGGGCGGAGGGGGTGATGGGGATGGCGGAGGGGGTGATTTATAATGTTATGGTGGAGGTGGAGGTGTGGGGGTGAGAGAGATGGCGGGGGTGGGGATTTATAATGATATGGAGGAGGGGGTGATGGTTAGGAGATGGTGATGGTGGGGGTGGTGATTTGTAGTAGTATGGAGGAGGCGGAGAGGGTGATGGCGGAGGAGGAGACTTGTAATTATATGGAGGAGGGTGCAAGGGAGATGGCGGTGATGGGGAGTTGTAATAATATGGTGAACGAGGAGACGGTGATGTTCGTGGTGGTGATTGATAGTGGTATGGATGTCTTGGAATCCATTTTTTATGATGATATCCCTTAGAATTCGCCTCAACTGTTGCAGCAACCAAACAGAACACCAATGTGAGCAACAGATGTGGCCACAACCTGGGCTTGCGTTGATCAGCCATGATAGGCTGTCGCAAAAGCCACTTCCTTGTCCCAAGCACAATTTATGAGATGACAAGCTATTTATTTTTATGCTTTTGATGGCTTGAAATCATCCCTTTATATAGCCTGCTTGCCCGCAGCTATTGTTCTCACGTCTTATTATTTTAATAGATTGTTACTGCAGAACTTCTCGCATCATTTCTGCTTCTCCACTTATAGTAGTTGGTTCCCATTAAGCAAACTTTTTTTTTGTATTAAATAGAAGAAAATTACTAGAATAATAAATATATTCTGGTAAGGCCCAGGTGTGTTGGTAGAATATTTATTTTTGTTTTATTATTATTTTATTGGGGCAATCACATGCAGACCACCCGAAACTTGGTATTTACAAATCAGGGCCCCTCTTTCATCCAATTTTTAAATTCTCACTCAAACATCAAAATTCATGATAAGAACCCAACCCATATTTTTCTAAAATTCTCAATAGTTTGATCATGACACAGCGTAGATACATCGGTTCAGTAGTTCAAAAAAATTACATATGCGATTAAGTTATAAATATCAATGTTTCAGGTAGTCTGTATGTAATTATCCCTATTTATTTAGAATACAGCTGACTATTCTCTGACATTATTTTTTCATGAAACAGTTGTGAAATCATGAATATATATATA